ATGTCTTGTAGAAATGACATATTCACAAATTTGTGTCTTAAAAACTGATATTTATATATCTTGTTTACTTGTCTTAATGATTTTTACCAGTTTAATTTATTCTAGAAATAAACTTAAGTTGTTCTTAATAAAAAAAAATTTAAAAAAAAGAATCTCAATCTATTCACCATCTATCATGATGCTGCCATTCACAGAGCAAGTAAAAATAAAATCTCATTGTCCTCTCTTAAAGTGCAAACAGGGTGCTTCTTTTTTTAATTTTAAATTTATTTTAATGAAAGTTTACAGAGACAATGAATTTCCATTCATTCATTGTTGCACTTTTCTCCCTGCCCACTCCTCCCATGCCATTCTCTTTTCTCTTTGAAAAGTAAAAGAAAAATTCTTTCATTGTTATTCAATCCCTCCCCCTAAGTCCACTCCACTATGCTACCTTTGTTCTGGACTTCTGTCATAACAATAATATCTAATCATATATCCCTTTTAAACAGTTCTCTTCTTCATCTGTTTCAATGCAGTATAAATGATTTACCCCCTCTCTGTCTCCCCCAAGCCCCTATGTCAGTTCTGTTCTATAACAGTGGCATTATGCCATATTTGTCTTTTTGTGACTGAGATATTTCACTCAGCATAATGTCCTTGAGGGACACCTATTTTGTGTAATATTTCATGAGTTCCTTGTTTTTCAATGCAGCATAGTATTCCATTGTGTGAATATACCAGAGCTTCTTTATCCATTCATTTGTTGATGGGCACCTGGGTTGTTTCCAACTCTTTGCTATTGTGAACAAAGCCAAAATAAACATATGTGTGCATGTATCTGTTTGGGTGGCAGTTAGGGTATATTCCCAACAGTGAAATGGCTAGGTCAAATGGTATTTCTATTCGCAATTTTTTGAGAAAGCGCCATACTGCCTTCCATAGTGGATGCACCATTTTACACTCCCCAAAACAGTGAATATGGGTTCCAGTTTCTCCACAACCTCACCAGTATATGTTGTTTCCTGTTCTGTTAAATTTTGCTGTTCTTCCTGGGGTGAGATAATATGTCATAGTTGTTTTGATCAGAGTGCTTCTTAGAGACTATAGTAGTGAAACTTTATCTCACACCCTTTGAGTATATATTACATGGGGCCAGTGCTTGGAGAGATGGTCAGCTAAAGAAAGGAAGAGCCTCAACAAAGTGGATTAGCACCGTGTCTGTAACAATGGGCTCAAGTATATCAGAGAGGATAAGAATGGCACAGAATAGGGCAAAGTTCAGGTCCTTTGTTCACAGGGTCGCTTTGTGACCTAACATGTTAAAGATATTTTGGCCAACCTGTAATCCGCCCACATCTTGCATTCATCATCACATATCAACAATTGCAATCCCACTAACAACCGCTAGAGTGAGAGCTCTTCAATCTGTAAGTGGAATTATTGTCCACTGGACACCACCATTATGTCTGTCCAGAATGAAGGTGTAGTTGCTATGCTCCGTAGAGGTGGAATCAACCCATAGCTGACCCTCCAGCGGGTTATCAGACAAAGTCAATCGCATGGAAAATTGATTGCCCATCTTTCTCCTGCAGAGCAGGGATGGATTACAACCCTATACCTTTGCCAAGAAATCTGGAGGACAACCAGCTGGTCAACTAACTGGAAAAGATCGATATTTGTTCCCATTCTAAAGAAAGGTGAGCGAAAGAGTGCGGAAATTATCAAACAATATCATTAATATCACATGCAAGCAAGATTCTGCTGAAAATTATCCAAAAACGTTTGGAGCAATATATCAACAGAGAACTGCCAGATGTGCAGGCTGGATTTAGAAGAGGTCGTGGTACTAGGGATATTATAGCTAATGTTAGATGGATCTTG